TACTTCAACGACGCGCATGGCAAGATAAGTACGACATAACAGCCGTTTTCCAAGGATATCTGTCCCCGAAAACTTAAATGTGTTCTTGAGATCGCAACCATGTGGTGGCTTCAATTTTAAACGTGGCTTAAAGGTGTTGATAAGTAAGTAATACGCGAGTGTGTTGACATGTGAGTTGAAGCTGCAGATATTGTGACCATGGCTGCCATATTTCCATCTGCCTACTTATATTAGCTTAAAGTTAGCTTATATTCGGTTGCAATGTTTTGGTAACACGTGTATGCAATAACCACAAGTGCATGCATGTGTTGAAATGCGTCGAGGCCAATCTTTAAAAGATGTAATGTCAAAGCACTGATCCTGTAAATACACGAGGAAGCTGAAATGCTCGAGGGATACTTAGAGCTAAGCACACATGATTGACAAAATCATCAGGACTGGTCTGTTCCCATTTTAGAGAGCCTCAATGTACATGTATGACGAAGGCTTCTCCTTTTGTTTTTTACCAGTAGTTTCTTTTTTGCATTGAAGCGCAATGGTCCTAGGCCGTTTTGGACTTCGTTCATTCTAAAGTTATTAGTCCCAAGCTGCGAGAAGACATATTCTTCCAGACTTCACAGCGCGAGCTGTCATGTTCAAGCATCGCTCGTGATCGCGGAGCGCAGACTTCCTGCATATGTTTTCCTGGTTGGCTGTTTGTTTTCCAAATTACGTCTCTCTGGTGTGCGTTTGCGCCCAGAAACTGTTGGAAAACAAGCTACTGATTGATGATTGAGCCAGCAATTGAGCTCCAAGCACAGGAGGTAACCATTTTCCAGCGCTGAACTCTGGTCTACTGGCCTGGAAAACAACTTCCTTTTCATTTGGAAGATTAATCGACTTTCTTGAAAAAGTTCCGGTTGTCGGACGGAAAAGGAGAGGCAGAAGAGGCATTCAAAATGACGGGGATGTGTCGCGTGGCGTACACAGCCACAAAAAACACGTAAATTTATAGGCACAGGAATTTGCCGACCTATTCGATTCTTTCTCATCCTTTCTATTTCATCTCGTTGCAAGTACAACTCGGGTTTATGATATAAGCAGGCTGAAACAGTCACCAGCTTTTGGTACTCTGGCCGAGGGAACTGTCAATGCTCAGAACAGGAATAATCCATGTGGGCCCACGCTCAACTTTTCGATATGCATTTCCTTCCAACCATTTCTGGCCTTTTGTGTGTTATAAAAATGCTACGAATGCAACACATATTTGCACCATACAAGCGGCCGGTGCAAGCCCACTTGTAAAGCACGGTTTGAATCTGGACACATACACGAATCGAGTTTTTCCTGCGCCAACCAACACACTTATTCAACAGCAGTTTCAATTCTCTGTTGTTGACTAGTAGAACTGCCTATACCCTGAATTTATTCGCACTCTCCTCAACAGCTTATCCCGATGTCATTCCACTGATGCGATTGTTTTTCCGCCTCGCGGGTCCGCTTGAACAAAAATGTGGTCCCCTCTGGCGGCGTTGGGGCGTCCCCTCGTTCGACGCGGCGTATCCCTCTGGGGAAGCTCCCTGCACAGCCATTTGGCGTCCGCTGATAGCCGGCGGTCTCTCTCTCTCTCTCTCTCTCTCTCTCTCTCTCTCTCTCTCTCTCTCTCTCTCTCTCTCTCTCTCTCTCTCTCTCTCTCTCTCTCTCTCTCTCTCTCTCCCCGCGCTCTCCCTCTCGCCCTTTTTGTCTCGCTCTCATTTATTTCCTTCTTTCCCTTTCTCATTCCTCGATCTTGTCAGAAGCCATGAAGAGCCTCGCCTGTCTCCAAATAAATGCATAAAGCTCCATATCACACCCACTGCAAGCAATTGTTATTGTTGGGGCGTTGACACGGAGGGTCAGGCCACACGACGACGCATTCCTCAGATCTCCTCTGAAAGCAGGGAGAAGTGTGTAGCATCAGGATGGCCCCCGTTCAAAGACAAGAGCCCTACTCGCACATTCTTGGTGCTGTCCTCATACGGCGGTATAGAGTCCCGGGGGTGTGGCAGCCCCGCTCGCACATTCTTGGAGCTGTCCTTCAGACGGCGGCGTAGAGGCTCGGAGGTGTGACAGCGTTTTCTCACCGGACTGGCCGATACGTCACCCTCTTGGCACGACTTTGGGTCGCGATGTGTTGATTTTCACGGTCAGGAGCCTGTTGGGCTTCTGAAAACGCACGGAGCATGACTGCTATGTTTTTCTGGCGCACCTTCCCAGAGCACTTGACGTGTTTTGCTTTGTAGCCATCCCTGCCGGCGACCAGTGGAGCCTGCGGTGCGTTGGCTTTTTGTTGCTGTGGCATATTCCGTTTGAAAGCGAAGCCATTGTACGACTGCATTCTGGTTTAGATCACCATCGATGTCAGCCTGCCGTATCGAATTAACTTTTGATAAGGTAGTTCAGGAACTGACGCGCTTTGCGTCTGGACTTCCAGTGACTTAGCATACTGAACCAGTACCAAACCAGTCACACAGTTAAATCCGCTGATGACCGTGGCTGTCCCCAAATTACCCGCGCTCGCCGGCGACCCGTGCGGTGGGCCGACAGAAGCCATCGGACCACAGCCCGCGGGTGGCACGGGACGGATTAACGACACTCATGAAGCTGCGCCCGAGGCGCGCCCGTCGCCTGTGACGCCTCCATGTCCGCGCCACTCCGTAAGCCGGTGCGAGAGGGGCGTCAGGCCGGCCCCGCTCCCGGGCCACCCATTGTGGCCGCCGGCTCCAGCCAGCCGGCGGCCGATTCTCGGTCCGGGCTGCCGGTGCCAGGACGTAGCTGATGCGGGCGTGGCACCGTGGACGTGTCTGAGGTTTTTGCATGCTGAGATCTGGCAGAACTGGCGACAGGAGAATTTGGGCAGCTTTTGTAAGCGGCTCGTTCGGGTGAATCGGTCTGCGCTCTTTTCTTGTGGTTGCATGTTTTTCTCCTGGAATTTTAGGAGGGTGGAAACAGCGTGCATGTTTGGATGGCTCGGTATATTTACGTGTCGTTTTTGGGCGATGTTTCACATGACGTCCCCGTAACTGAACCCGAGAAGAACATGACACTCAGCTGTCGGAAGGTCGTAAACAAGATCAGTCGTATTTCATCAGACGGGGCTCGGGAAAAGTCAGCTCGGGAGAAGCCCCGCATTGCCACGTCTAATGAGCCCGTCTCTCCCCCTTCACGCCCCCCCCCCCCCCCTAACCCCTAACTGTGGTGCCCCTTCCCGGCTCGCACCGGAGTCGCGAGAACCGTGAAAACATTTGCGAGGCGAGCATCTTTCCTGTCAAGGAAAAATGCAACTCCATCAACCTACCGTCGTTCGCACGGAAATAGCGGGCGGCACGCGTGTGCGCACCTTTGTCGGAGGCGCGCTGGGCGGTTCAGCGGTTCATTAGGCGGGGACGGATGGGTTCTCCTGACGCGTCCGACCATCCCGGTTCTCACGGAACCCCAGTCCGGCGGAGCGGAGCCCCACGACGTGCGGCAGTGGGCGGTGGCGCCCACACATTCAGAAGCAGTTCGGATTGCAAGGCAGTGGTCCACGCCGAACACCGATAAAAAGCGCAGAGGTCAGAATCAGTACCAAGCATCGCACATTCGGATCTACGTGGTTTAAAACCCAGTGCCAGTGCCAGTGCCATTTCAGTGTCATTTAAAACCAAGCATCCGGTCGCTATCAACCTTGATTTTCATGTATGTACCTCGAAATATCTGCCCCTGACATTTCAACTTGCTTGTAAATTTGGGTACGCTGCAATCGTAGTCTGATCATTCACGTCGGCAGCGCATGTCCATGCTAAAAAGGAATACATCTGAGTGAGTGAACCCTATGCAGCCCGATGGGATCAATATTCACGCAGTAACATTTTTCGTGTATAAACATAATACATCTGAGTGAGTGAGCCCTATACAGTCCGATGGGACCAGTATTCACGTAGTAACATTTTGCGTGTATAAACATACGCAATATGAGAGGAACACCGGCCACTTCTCAACATACAGCGATCAGCTGACAAGCGCTGAGTTGGCTTGTTTGGCAAAACCATGTGCTAATAAATGAATAGCGGATTCATTAAGGATTCGGGACAGAAAAATACCACATTTTATACGTGCTGCGGCGTCATGTACCCCAGAGCCGAAGACACCACACAGTGTCGCTCCAACGGGCTGACAGGTTTTGCAGCCGGGCCATGGCCGATCAGTCGCCGATAGCCATCGATGCACCTGGCATTGTGACCGGAAACGACGACTTTCCGGCCCGATCATGCCATCTCTCCAGACCGGTCTGGTAACGGCGCCGCTCAGCCTGTCGAACGGGCGCCGTCCGTTCTGCTTCACCGTGCCGATGAGGACCGCCGCGCTGCGTGTGGAGCCCCCTCCCCCCCCCCCTCTTTGATCGCGCCGCCTGGTCCCTGCGCGTGGCGCCGACGGAAGGCGCCGCTGTTCACCCCTGCAACGGCAGACGGCGGGGCTGCACGGCACCGCTCGGCGGCCGGACGCGACTAGCCAGCTGACGCGCGGCATTATCGCGACGACCGCTTCAAAGCGGCGTCTAATTCAGCCAGCCGCGGCGAGTGACGCGAGCGCAAACAGACAGGTCCGCCGTGGGTGGTCGCCCGTCAGGTCCGGTCGGTCCCGCCGCCGCCGGCAGCGCCCCTCTCGGCGGCCGACGTCAGGGGCACGTCTCGCCGGGCGGACGTCGCCCGGCGGCCCCTGCAGCGGGCCCCTGGGCTGTCGTGATGATTGGGTAGGGAGATAAGGGGCGGGCGGGCGGGACCGGTCAGGGCTTCAGACTACGATTGGCTTCAGGGCCGGCCGTTCATGGGACTGTATTTAAACGCCGTGAGGTCGGCGTGTCGAGTCGAGATCTCGGAGGCGATGTGATATGAGGATATGCCGATAGGGGGACGGGACCGTGTGAAATGATTGCACACTGAGGGACATGTCTGTTTCCATTTTCAGCTGGATGGTTACAAACCCTCCGGAATCCACCCTGAATGGAGCTGACAATGAAGAGCCAGCAACTCCTGCTGTTAGCGGTGGCCTCACAGCTGGTGACCCTCGGGTTTGCGCTCTCCTTAGGTAAGTTTCAGCGCTGCAGTCGCAAGTGATCGAAGTTTACATGCGACTTGAAAGTTATGTAAGATAGACTTAAGGTGATGACACTGAAAGACAGACTTAATGGAATAACGCTGGAAGACAAACCCATGTAACGGTATACTTTTCGTAGCGTTCTTGATTCACTCTGTAGTTCTTGCGCGGTCCATCGAGCTGCAGCGCACATTTCCAACTTCTCGGCACACCTCATTAAGATGGCCTAACCGGAAGCCACTGGAAACTATGCTTTGTATCTTAAATATGATACATTTGGTCGGTCTTGATCTGGTACATTCGGTCATATCGACCTCGTTTAGTTCTTGAAGTAGTTCGGTTATTGCACCCAGACTCCTGGTCTTCAGTTCCCACCATCGGTTAAGGTTGGTTTAAGTAAGCTTCAGGGAGATCATATCACTATGTCTAGCATGCTCTGTTGTCGTAAGCGTGGGCTTGTGTTGTCCTTCGATCGCTCCTTAAGAGTTGCATGGAACCTTTGTCTTCAGAAAACCTGTTATTCCCGACGTGATCTCAATCTGTGAAAAATCGCTGCTCACTCTTCGTTTCCATAATACTCCAGATTTTTGCAGACATCACGGCAAGAGATCTCCTGATAGGCCGCGATCGTAATGTTTATACTGGATTCCGTGAATGATCTTCGGAAAGCTTAGTGCAGGTTTGCGATGCGGACGATGGAGACGTGTGTTTTTTTGCTCGATGTTGGCAAAATATCCGCCGCGGTTTATTGTCTCCTAGCACATTAAAACAACAATGATAGCTTAACCACTCGTGTTTAGTATTCCATCTGCTGCAGGAAAGCTAGTGCTGAAGCTTCCATTTCTTCTTCTCAGCGTGCTTTCTATTCATGTAACAAATGAGATAATCTGCAATCCCGGGTTAGCTTGACCGAAAACAGCATTTTCTCACCGGTCTCCAGACTAGTATTCTCGCGGGTCTCTACACCAGTATTCAAGCGGGTCTCCACACTAGTTTTCTCGCGGGTCTCCACACTAGTATTCTCACGGGTCTTCAGACTAGTATTTTCGCGGGTCTCCACTCTAGCATTCTCACGGGTCTTCAGACTAGTATTCTTGCGGGTCTCCACACTAGTATTCTCGCAGGTCTTCAGACTGGTATTCTCGCGGGTTTCCACACTAGTATTCTCACGGGTCTCCAGACTAGTATTTTCGCGGGTCTCCACTCTAGCATTTTCACGGGTCTTCAGACTAGTATTCTCGGGGGTCTTCATACTAGTATTCTGGCAGATCTTGAACTGTATTCGCTTAGTCCACGACGTGTCACTGTCAGGTGGCACGTTGTGACCCCAGGTCAATGTGACCTCTCCTGACGGTGATCCGCAGTAACCCCAGGTCAGTGTGACCTCCACTGACGTTGACCCCATGTGACCTCAGGTCAGTGTGACCGGCCACTGGGCATGGAGTCGGGTGAGATCGCCGACGGTCAGATCACGGCCAGCTCATCACACAACGGCAACAGCGTGGGCCCGCACAGCGGCCGCATTCGGACAGAGCACCGCGGCGGCGCCTGGTGTCCGCTGCCCGTCATCACGGCAGAGGTGCGCGAGTACCTGCAGGTCGACCTGGGTCGCGTCACGGTCGTCACGGCCGCCGAGACGCAGGGCCGCTTCGGCAACGGCCACGGCGTGGAATGGGCCGAGCGGTACTCTCTGCAATACTGGCGGCCCGGTACCGGCTGGAGGACGTACCGCAACGCCTCGGGCCACACGCTGCTGGACGGCAACGTCAACTCGTACCTGGCGCACAAGACGCCGCTCGATCCGCCGATGATGGCATCCAAGGTGCGACTGGTGCCGCGCAGCGAGCACCCGCGCACCGTCTGCCTCAGGGCCGAGCTGCACGGCTGTCCGTACACAGGTACGTGGTGTACTGAGGTACACTGGGGTACGCACCGTCTGCCTCAGGGCCGAGCTGCACGGCTGTCCGTACACAGGTACGTGGTGTACTGAGGTACACTGGGGTAGGCACCGTCTGCCTCAGGGCCGAGCCGCACGGCTGTCCGTACACAGGTAGTGGTGTACTGAGGTACACTGGGGTACACGCCGTCTGGTCAGGGCCGAGCCGCACGGCTGTCCGTACACAGGTACGTGGTTGTACTGAGGACACTGGGGTACACACGTCTGCCTCAGGGCCGAGCTGCCGCTGTCCGTACACAGGTACGTAGTGTACTGAGGTACACTGGGGTACACACCGTCTGCGTCAGGGCCGAGCTGCACGGCTGTCCGTACACAGGTATGTGGTGTACTGAGGTACACTGGGGTACGCACCGACTGCCTCAGGGCCGAGCTGCACGGCTGTCCGTACATGGGTACATGATGTACTGAGGTACACTGGGGTGCAATGTGACGCTTTTCGTTTAACCCGAAAATCCAAATATTTGGTGCACATTCCTTACCGTTTTTATCAAAAGGCCAAAAACGCGCCTTTCTGTGCGAGGGAGAATGCAGTGTAAATACAGCATAAGGATAAGGCCAGTAGGGATAGCTGCACAGCGCACAGTGTGGCCGCGGCGTGGCTTTGAAGACGTTGATATGTGTGGGAACCTAGATGCATGTTTGGCTTGGCACCATTCTTTAGATGCTTCCGTGTGCATAAAGTGCAGACGGGTCGCGCCGTCTTGTCGAGCCGTCGGACACTGCGGCAGAGCGGAGCCACGTCATACAGCATACCCTGGCGCGGGGGGCGGGGTAAGGGGGAGGCTGAGCGGGCTCGATCGGCCCTCGCCTTCTCTGGTCCACCGGCGCCGGCAGGAGGGGGAGGGGGGGGGATGCTGAGCTGGCTCGATCGGCCCCTCGCACTCCCGGTCCACCGTCGCCGGCAGGAGGGGGAGGGGGGGGGATGCTGAGCGGGCTCGATCGGCCCTCGCACTCCCCGGTCCACCGTCGCCGGCAGGAGGGGGAGGGGGGGGGGGGCACTGAACGGGCTCGATCGGCCCTCGCACTCCCCGGTCCACCGGCACCGGCAGGAGGGGGAGGGGGTGCTGAGAGTGCTTGATCGGCCCTCGCATTCCCCGGTCCACCGGCACCGGCAGGCGCGCCAGCCGACCGTGACCGCACGTAAATCGGCAACTCGATCTACGTGTGACGCAATGATAGGGTCGCGCGGCGCACAATAGCTCTTTGACAGGGTAAGGAATACGCCAGGGATCAGAGCGCTGAGAACAGCAATCATGCTGCCAAATACCCCGCCATTAGAGAGAAATATTACTGATGATGAAGTGAAATGTTGGTCGTAACTTTCAGACGGCATTCAGAGCTACAGCATGGACCGGCCTGATCCAGTTCGACCTGACCTGACCTATGACGGTGCGGCGTCGGCCGAGGTCATGGAGGGCGGCCTGGGTCAGCTGACGGACGGGCGCCTGGCGGACAACGACATCACAAGTACGTGCTCACCTTGTGTCGTGTTACCTGCAAGAGTGGTTGGTGGTGTGTCTACCGAGGCCCCGTCCATTTCGTACGTCCGCCTCCCAAGCATTGTTCTCGGGCGGACGATCGCTGATGGATGATGTGGTTTCTTCTCAAGCGTCGCGGAAGCACCAGCCAGATGATTACTCGTACCCAGCACACCTCGCTGTGTGCTAGTGATAGATGTAGCAGAACATGAACAGGACCCACACCACTATGTTTTCTGTGGCGGTTATAGAACTAAGCGAAATTCGTAGCAATATTCGGAAGTCCCGTTTCCATAGATTCCAAGTTAGCAAGCGACATCAAAACAAATTTGGGGGGGGACGTTTTTTACACATGTCTTCCCAAGCTAAGTCCTTTTATCTTGCGTTATCGATGTTCTTTCCTTTATATTTTCAGACGAACTCCTTTATTTTGCCTCATTGTTCTCACGCGCAAAAGAAACTGTCTCCATTCACAATCTCACAGCCGGCCATTTGTCCGCCACTCATCATGAGCTGCGATGACGCATCGCTGCCTGAGCCGCGACATTATCGCTGTCATCGCGTCAGACAGAGTGAGGATAAGCTGCTTCAGCGAGCGGTCCCTGTCCGCCATTCAGTCCGGGATCGCAGTCAGCTGCCAATGCCGTGCTCGCCGGCGCCGACACGTGAGCTCGCTCAGTCGGAACGGCCGGGCGGCTCGGTCGTGCGACCGCGGCGGCCTGCGGGCGCGGCGGCGTGACTCGGCGTGGCTCCGTCGCCGAGATGTTATCGAGGCCGGCGGTCTGTCTGCTGAGCGGGCTCGGGCGGTCCCAGCTGGCGTCCCGCTGCGGGCACAGTCGCGGTGGCCCGACTGGCCAATCGGCGCGCTCCCAGCCGGCGCGCGACCCGTGCCGAGACGGGTTTACAGCGTGTCCTGTCGCCGAGCGGCCGTGTTCGGACAGGAGCACGTCCGTGCCGGCGGCGGGAGCATGGGACGGCGGCCCCGTCTGGTGCTGGCGGTAGGGTGGTCGCGACGGCCGGCAACCGCCGCCGGCCTCGGGAGGTGACTGAGCCGGTTATCTCGCAGAGCCGGAGTGGGTCGGCTGGCAGAGGCGGCCCGGGGAGCTGGTCACCATCACGTTCGAGTTTGATGGCGTCAGAGAGCTGGAGTCTGCTGCGTTCCACGTCAGCAATCACTTCACCAGCGGGGTGAAGGTATGCTGGCGTATTGTAAAGTGTTTTTACCTGTCTCAACAAATACTCCGACACGAAGCGCGGCTGCTTGAGCGTTGCTGATCTCCTTTACTTGCTCATTCTGGCGATGATATTGTTGCAAGGGTGATTACATCACCATTGCACTAAGTTTCAACGCATTCAAATGACTGATTGCTCGTCCGTCCTATCTGGTGGAGTCATAAACAAGGACAGTGCTGTCAACAAGGTCTTGACAGCACACCTGATAACCAGTGATATCAATAGCGAGGCCATCAACACCAGCTGGCGCCGCCGTCAGATGTTCAGTCGGGCCAGCCTGTACTTCTCGGTGGACGGCAGCGCGTACACCAGCTCCGCGTTGACCCTGGAGCCGCCGGCTGACCGCATCTTCGAGGACGCGCGCCGCCTGGAGGTGCGGCTGTACCGCCAGGTGGGCCGCTATGTGCGGCTCGAGCTGACTGCCGCCGACCAGTGGCTCCTCATCTCAGAGATATCATTCGACAGTGGTGAGTGTGCTCGACACGAACGTGAGTGGAGTTCACAGTCGATAACACCCGGCCCGGGGGGAATACTATACCCGGACGCTGTTTTGTCGTATGTAGCAGTTAATTTCAACCTGTTCATTATCTTCTCACTTGACGTCAGTTGATGTCCCGAAAGCCAGTGTATTGTGAGATATTTATAATGGCCTTGAGAGCATCTTTCAAACGCAGCCCTCGAGTACAGCTCTAACGCTCTGTCCTCCCCCCGCAGCTCCATCGGCGCACAACGTGACGGACCTCGTGCTGTCCCGATCCGACGGCCCGGCCCAGCTGCCGGAGCCTTCCGAGTCGGAGTCGGAGTCGGAGCCGGTGTTAGAGGAGTCCGGGGAGTCAGAGTCGGCGGCGTCGCTGGCCGTGCTGCTGGGCGTGCTGGGCCTGGTGCTGCTGCTGCTCTCGGCGCTGGTCGGCTATGTGGTGCGGGCCGGCCGGCGGCGGCGCATTGCCGGCGGCTCGGGGCCGAGCCCGCTGCAGCTGCCGCTGGCGCGCAACATGAAGGAGCTCAGGAGGAGCGTGCAGCTGACGCCGCGGCACGGCCATGCCCGGCCGCCGGCCGACCTCTACGGCCCGCTGGCCGGCGACGAGGACAAGATCGACCTGGCCGCCGAGCACCACCGCGTGGTGCGGCTCAACTCCGAGTACAACACGCTGGCGCAGCGGCAGCACGGCCGGCCAGCAGACGCCATGTATGACTACGCCGTGCCGGTGGATACGAGCCCGCCATCGTGCTCGGACGGGCCGGCGGCCGGGCTTGCCGGCACGTCCCGCTCCTGGGACAACCCCAACTACCGGCAGTCGCCGCACAGCGGCGCCCAGTCCAGCAGCCAGCCGTCCGTATGCAGCATCAGTGAGCTACTGCCGTCGCCCCCGCCGCTGCCGCCGCCGCCGTTGCAGCCGACTTGTGCCAGCTTCGGGCGGCGCCGCCGGTTGCTGGCTGGCGGCGTGCAGGGCGTGACGGGCACGTGTGTCTGGGACAGCAGCGGCGCCGGGCCGCCGGCCGGTCGTGCTGCCGTCACCGAGATCAGCGACGAGCTCATCCAGCTGAGAGACAGGATCGGACAGGGACGGTATGGAGAGGTGAGGCACGAGACCGGTCACGGTCGCTGTGGAGAAGTGAGGGACAGGGCTAGAGAGGGATTTCATGGGAAGAGGAGGGCTGAGAGGAATACGTGAGCAGAGGGGCGAATAGCGTTTATTTAAAACAGGTCCAAAAAAGTAATGGGCATTGTAATGCATGTGTATGAGACTTACAACGTTTACAGTGAGAGGACATTCGTGGTGCTTAACTTTGAAAAAAGCATTCGTGTCTGTTGAAGCACATTGTCAGACAATCGTATCCCTGCACCTTTGGCCTCGCGGACGACACCAGCAAGCGAGCGTGTGTGTGCCGCAGATCCGCGTGTGCGAGGTGCACCAACGCTCGTCGGCCGACAGTCCGTACCAGGCGCCCTCCCGGCTGGCCACGGCCCGCAGTCTGCGGCCGGGCGCCCCGGCCGAGGCCGCCGGCCGGCTCCGCCGCGAGGCCGAGCCCCTCTGTCGGGTCACTGACCCACACGTGACCCGGCTGCTGGGCCTCTGCACGCTGGAGCAGGCGCCCGGCCTGCTGGTCGAGTACCTGGAGAACGGCGACCTCAACGAGTTCCTGCGGAGAGCGCCGCACGACCCGACCCGGGTAGACGGACCACTCGAGTGAGCAGTCCCGGCCGGCGTCCAGTGATGGGGAGGATGCGTCTGAACTGTGTGCACTTACCGGCGCCGTCCTGGAAAGAATAACTCTCCGTGTTGAGATTAAAGAGAGATTTTAGTTAGTACGCTCAAGGAAGTTCAGGTGAATATGGGGTTTACGTGCTCCGTAGTCCCGTAAGTTGTGCCTTCTATTTATGGTGCCCTGCCCTGCTCTGCAATTTCTTTTTCGTCGCAACTGGCGCTGCCTCCGTGCATCCTGTTGTTACCTGCTTTGTCCGACCTGCTTGCATGTGACGATACTACTACTATTACAGCCTGGGCTCTCTGGTCTACATTTCGGAGCAGATCGCGGCTGGCATGGAACACCTCGAGTCCCTCGCAATCGTCCACCGTGACCTGGCCGCTCGCAACTGTCTGGTGGGTCACCGGCTCAAGGTGAAGGTCGGTGACCTGGGGCCCAGCCGAGAGCAGTACGCCAGCGACTACGTGACCCTGCCGGATGGCCGGGTCATCCCGCTGCGGTGGCGGGCTCCCGAGGCCCTGTTCACGGTGAGTTCTGGTGTGGTTGATCTGGGGAGCTTTGCCCCATGAAGAGATGAGTGCCCATTCGGGCGTGTGGTCGTTCTCGGTGACGCTGTGGGAGGTGCTGACCTGGTGTCTTCTGCTCTGTTTTAGGAGGAGATGAGTACCCGCTCGGACGTGTGGTCGTTCTCTATGACGCTGTGGGGGTTGCTGACCTGGTGTCTTCTGCTCTGTTTCAGGAGGAGATGAGTACCCGTTCGGACGTGTGGTCCTTCTCGGTGACGCTGTGGGAGGTGCTGACCTGGTGTCGGCTGCAGCCGCTGGCGCACATGACGGACGCGGCCGTCACGGACCGGCTGGCCGGCTGCCGCGAGCCGGCCCCGGAGCCACACCTGCAGCAGCCCAACGCCTGTCCTGCCGACCTCTACCAGCTGATGATGCAGTGCTGGCGGCTCCGGCCGCACGAGCGGCCCTCCTTCAAGGAGATCAGAGCCATCCTGCAGCGCAGAAGTGCCGACTTCGAACATTCAGCGGAGGAACTGTGAAGGGCTTCTGAGTGATACTTTGAAGCGAAGAATGCTGGTTTTATCATCGGACTGCGATGTTGAAGTGAATGATCCTTTGTGCTAAGCGATGTCTTCCACTTTCCTGAAGATATTTTGTAGCTCTGCTCTTTACCGCTATAACATATCTTAGAACCATATCGAATGAGTGCACAGTGCATAGGCGAAAGGTGTGTCCTCTGGATGGCCTTATCCCACTTCACCATATCCCCTGGTTGTGAAGATGATGGGTGACCTTGTCGGGCTCGAGTGGATCCGCATGCGTCCTGTATGCACTCTCTTGTATGTCTCGTATGCAACATCTCTTTTGATTGCCCTGTAGCTCTGAATGTACTACATGTTGCAGGATCCTATAAATGCTTGGATGTCTCTTGCTTGGCTTGACCATTTTAAACGTCGGAGTAATGGTAAGGAGCGATCTCATTGTTTGCAGACGGTGGTTCTTACCTATTGCCTAGAGCCCGGTAGGGATTCAATGTGCAGTGTGATATTTATTGGTAATATAATTTCTTCGATCGTTTCTTCACTTTCTGAAGGACGGTATTGCGATCAAAATGTCCTATCGGTGCACTATAGCAACCGGCACACAGCACGTTTAACGCAGATACATTCCCTCATTTTCTTTTCATGGTGTCAGTGGTACGCCCCAGGAAAACGCACTACACAAACACGGAGACTCATATTCCATCTGTCGGCACGGTAACATGCTGAACGTGCTCGAAAAGTGACGCCATCAAGCTCCCGGGAAGCTTACTGAAAGCAGCCACAGCAGGACGCGCCACACCGCCGCGATTTTGTTCTCTGTTTTCCTCGCACACCCGCTGCACCTACCCAGAAAAACACGGCCATCGCCCCTCGGAGCCGATAAAAACCCTGATCTGATTAACGCATTTGACACGTCTCTATAGAAGGGTAAAAGGAATCTATTGAGCCCTATGAGTCACTGAGTCTCAGAAAAGCGCCACAATCACGCTACCGGATTTATGCCTGGAAACGAGAAGCGAAACTTTTTAGCATGCCAAGCAATGGTGAAATCCTGAGCGTAAAAAGGCGATTAGTTTTATAGAATTGTTAAACGGATAACGGTAAGTGATCACAGATCACTTCCACTTTCAGGTGCTGTAGGAATTATAGTAAGCCTTTAAAAATTGAAGGCTAGAAATAGAAATAAGCACTGTTACACGGCACGCTTAGATCACGTCATGATCTTCATAAATTGCTGACAATTAACTGACCCGGAAAGCTCCGGCTTGTGCATTCAAGGCGTTCTTCACAGATCCTACCACTGCTTTTTGAAACTGCTTTCATGACTGGCGTATAACCCGCGGACAAGGTGACGTCGCAGCCTGTCAGGCAAGCCATTCGGCCCGAACATCACCCCTGTGACTGTACCACCGATCTGGGAGCATCAGCCACCTGTGACACCCGGCTGAGGCCTCCGCAGCACCCATCACCTGTCAGGTTAGCGGACCGTCCCCACCCGACCGGCGCGTGGGGCCCGCCGCGGGCTCCAAACACGTCATTAGCTATTCACCTTTCACGCCCACGACGGTAAACAAGAGAATCTTGGAGAGCGCCTCCAAGGCGAGCAGGCCGCTGGGGTCGTGCCGGGTCACCGTCCGGTCATGAAGGGGTCAGAGGAGCGGCCGTTGGCCGTTATCGAGCCCATAAACTGCGCGGATAAATGCCAGAGTGGGCCTGCCGCCCTGCCCACCGTCACAGATGTGGCGATACCTTCTGGTTAATGAGGTTAGTGCCTCGGCGTTGTGAAATCGGCATCCGTTTTCTCGGCCACCCAGATTGATCATGTGCCACATATTCCCGGTTTTAGTTCATCGCCCGAGAGGTCCATGATGCCAAACATGAATGGGAAACGGGATGCGATCAAGCAACGCAGCAATGGAATGGGAGCGGAGATCGTGAAATAGAGAGTTTTCCAACGTTGTTATTGGTCGGGAACTGGCTCTTGATTCTCAACTTTACGCATCGACAGCCGCTGCTGTCCAGGTCCGGCAAATTTTCCGTAGTCATTCATAGCGACATGAACGAAAGGAACAGCTATTATGATTTATTGAGTTGCATTACAAACCCGGATGGAGCCGGGCGGCCATGGACTCATTTGCGAGGAAAGCGCGCAGATTCGACGCTGATTTCAGCACCAAGTCCGGATACATGTCTCCGACCAGATGAAGAACTCTGCAGATCATGACTGGTTCCAGGAACGCTTCACTCTGGAATTGGTCAGCGGGGGTGCAGGAGCACGCTTCGTCCGCTCGAACGTCATCCGTTCACTAAACCTGGAGACCAAGAACTGGCGTGGTTAATACTATACACATATTTTGAATCATGTTCGGCTGTATACATATCTTCCCAAACATGTCCGGCGGCATGCATAAATGCACGATTTGTTTTCCTGACACTCCATCCATCGAGGCCGAATTTAAACGAAATCAGCTATTGGCTGGAGGGCTGGTACGGTGGGTGCGCCAGGTTCTGGCCTGCGGATAACATTAATGCAGAAATTCTACGCTGCATTTGAGCCGGGCGCATCAGAGCGAAAGATTAGGAGGGGAGAGCTAAGCCACCAGATGTTACTCAGCAAAATTAATTGGATGTATCGTCTGGCACTAATAGCGCTGAAAACCTTGGCATCACTTAAATGCCCAGAGGCGTCACAAAAGAGCCGGAGCCGCGTCATCTGGCGATGCACACGCTTCAAATGGAAGTTGCAAATGTCTCACCAGCCCTCTCCATGAGGACTAGTCTCCACCGGCTCATTCACTTCACTAAACGTCTAAATTTGGTGAGAATCAGCGCAAACTCTTAGGTCTAGTGCCGTGTCCCCGACTATATAGGTTGGAGGTTTTCCAGTAGCCGTGATGAGGACAGCAGTCGCAAGGGATGGAGACCTCAAATTCCACATTACATGCGCGCCGCCAGTATGTATGCAGACTTTCCAGTAGCCGTGATGCGGGCAGCAGTCGCAAGGGACGGAGATATCAAATTCCGCATTACATGCGCGCCGCCGGTATGTAGACGACAGCTGGGCACACGCACGTCCGGTAGTTTTCCTGCACTCGAAGGGACGTGTCTGTGGACACGTACAGACATGCTTGAACGGATGAATGAGTCCGGGTCTGCATATTTTAAATCGGGTGTCTCGATTAGCCAAAGAAATCATGGAAATTTCCGGCATTGCCTCTGTGCCACTTACGACCGTTTCTATGCTAATGAAGCGCAGTTCGCGAACAGCGTTCCCAGCACGCCGGGTTAGCTAGCCATGTCTGGGACGTCTCTTCGTCGCCCACATCAAATATATCCAAGATATGACGACACGACATAACGACACATATGATCGCGACCGACCGCCAGTGATCATGCTTCGATGAAAGCATTCGCTGGTCTCCATTTTTGGATGCAACACCATTAAGGTGCTGCCAACGCTGTCGGAGCGATGCATCAAGATGACGGGCTCGCTCTCATTCGAAGGCAAACAGTACCCTCGCACACGGCAAACTTCTAAATAGCCGTGAGAACTGTTTGTCGGCAACAACCGCGCTCTCCGCCCAAATCGCCTCCCCGAGCAAACAACCGTAAACTCCCGCGAACGCGGCCCTCCATAAACCGGTTATTGGAAGCTGGCGAGCGGTCGCGGCTGCCGCCGTTGCCGACGCGGCGTAATGAGACGCGCCGCGGCGTCCCGACGCTGCCTCGTCGGTCGCGGCGCCGCCGTATTGATTGCGGCGCGCGGGAACAGGTGCGGCGGTCCCCTGCTCTCCCGTCGGCGCGTCTCCCCCGTCGTCGACGCCGGCGGGCCCGCGGCCGGCCGATAGCGTCGCGGCCAGTTAATGGGCCGGGCCGCGGCGATGAAAGAGGGCCGGCTGAAAGGGCGGCCGCCGCGCCGGCGCGCGGGGCGGAGAGGGGCCGGACGCCGCCGCCTGTCTGCCGACAGCTCATGGCGCGATTAATAGTGGCCACGTGACCATTCAGCGGCGCGCTTTGGTGACGGTGCGCGGCGGGGTGATATATCAATTAGGCATCAAGGGCAGCCGGCGGGTCGGCGCCTCGCGGCCCGCAGGTCTTTGTACGGCCCCAGTCACTCCGGCCCGGGATGCCGAGCGCCTGCTGCACTGGCGCCGCTCCGTTCCCTCTCTCCAACTGCACGCCGTTATGCAGAGAGACATTATGGTCGGTTAACACCCTGGTAAAATGCGATGTTTTTCAGCGGCGTCTCATTCTTTGATGGCGTTTCAGTTCGACCCTTCGCTTTCGGCATCCGCGCCCAACAGCGGCGGCATCAGCGATTGGATGCGACGAAAGCGGCGCAGACAGCGTGAAATCAATGTAGTGGCGCGCAGAATAATGAAATATTTCGTCACAGCGCAGCATCCCTCGCAGCGGTACCGAAAAACCATCACGGGAATGGACGCGTTACACGGCCTACCGTGTCCGCAGCCTGCGGCCGAGCGGGGATCCTCCAGGCTTGTTCCCCACGACAAAGTAATACGTCATGATTGATGAGGCCACATAACAAGGGAAGAGCGCTGCCCCACCTGATGCTCGGGGAATCTCAGGCAAGATTTATCGTTCCTGGATGCAGTAATCACGCGGTAAGCATTATATGAGTCAGCGCCCATATTGCTTCTTCCCCGTCCGCCGGGATGGTGGCGGCGCCCGGCCGGCCCC